TAGTAGGTGCCTGCTATTCTACATTTCAAAATGCAATTACAAGTTTAAGTTATTTCTTCTAAAATTACAATTACATCATAGAAAAAAAGTTAAAGAAGTTCGGGTAACAAAGTAAGTAACAAAAAGACAGCTAGCATTTTTTGAGCAATTTCTGTATACCAAGTAGTTTATTAAGCACCTTAGTACACATTATCTCATTTAATTCTGAGAGGTGCCTGCTATTCTACATTTCATAAACACAGAAACTGGGGCTTATAGAAATATGCAAGCATTTCTCCATAATATATATACCTTAGACTTGTGCTATGCAGACTGGCCTGTGGTCACATGAGGCAACTAAACATTTGAAAAGAGGCTAGTTTTATCAAGTTGAGCTATAAGTATCACCATATTTCAAAGACTTAGTATTTAAAGATATCTTTAATAAATTTTTGAATATTGATAATACGTTAATATCACCATATTTTGGATATAGTGTGTTAAATAAAATGATTATTAAGATTAGTTTTACCTAGGTTTTTAATCAACTACTAGAAATTTTTAGATTACCTATGTGGTTCACATTGTGTTTTTATCAAACAGTGCTGACCTAGAGACCAAAGGTTAGGAGCTGATTTGGCCAGCAGACACCAAGTTGAAAGACAAATTAACACAGAAAAGGATACATTGATTCATAAAGATACTGGTTTTAATCTCCTTTCCATCAGTGAGTGGTCTTAGATAAGTTACCAAATCTCTTGGCACTTCAGTTACATCATCTGCATTATGGTGATATTAAATGTCCTCTAACAACTACTTCATATAGTATGTAAAGCAGCTAGTTGGTACACAATGAGCAAAGGAAGCAATTACTGAATACCTACTATAGCAATTGGGAAGTTTAAAAATTGGCTCGCAAAAGAATACAAAATTCACCCATTTGAAAATCATGTTTTATTCTTTTTCAGTGAGAGGAGTTAGAGAACGCTAGCTAGCTTAATATATGCCTTACTTTTAGATTGTATTAGAATATAAATCATTTATAGCCAATCCTCTCTCCCATTAAATTGTTTCTAAGATGGGTGCAGCAGCACATGCCCATAATCCCAGGGACTAGGTTGTGGGGACATGGTGCTGAAGCTTTAGGATCACAAGTTCAAAGACAACCTGGATAACTTAGGGAGAACCTGTCTCAAAATAAAAAATAAGGACTGAGGATGTAGCTCAGTGATAGAGTGCCCATGGTTCAATCTCCAGAACCCAAAAAATAAAGCTTCTAAAATGTTAGATTGAGAAGCCACAAGATGAGGTTAGGGAAGGTATACAAAAGAGGACATAGAAGTAAGGGCCTGAGTGTTCTTGAGTATACAGTAGTTAAATTCCAGTGAAAACAGTTTTGAACTCTAATTCAGCTACTCAATGGCCTTTTAAACATAACGAACTAAGACTAGTGAGTAAAGTGGCATCTGGGAAGTAAATTTTACTCTATTTTTTTTTCCTGGATCACAGTGCAAATTATTCCAGGATACAGACTATTTCATTATTACAACTGAGAAAAGTAATTTGCACTATATTACAAGAAACCCAAAATACAAGGACCATGCGATCTAATACTTTGCCATATTCTTTGCCCTAGGCTTCTGCCAAGTTAGCCCTGTATCCAGGTTGTACATGCACTTTATAATGTATTATGTATGCACTTAAATGTGAAGGGTGGGATAGCTAGAGCATTCACTTGGATTATTTGATATATGTATCTGGTCTAAATTGACCTGAGACAATGAATGAGACTACCTATTTTTGAGTCTGCTTTCTTTTTAATTGAGTGCTACTGGGGTAAGGGGATAATAATTAAGGATTTGAGTTACTTAAATGTAGCTCCTTTAAATCATATACATAGATACCAAAATTGTTCATCTAACTACAAAACAACTTTAAGATAATAAGACTGGAGAAATAAAAAGCTATCGGATGCACAGATTTGAAAACAAAATAGAGACCGTGAAATAGTCACTGTTTTAATTTGGAATTTAACACAAGAATTTACATACAAAATTTTAGTTTTGCTGTTAAGAGTGTATACTTTAATCTCATATGTAGCACTATCCATCACTTGCAATGAATTGTAAGCATCCCCTGAATATGAGTGACTTGGCCCTGGCTCTTTCAAATTAATAGATTCACACTGACTTATAATGTGATTGTGTCTATAGCACACCTATCTTTCAGTAAATGTCTTCACATTTAGAACTATGGGTAGAATAAGCCAGGAAAAAAAAAAAGACGACACTAAAATTGTTGGCAACATTAATAATGACCAGATGAAACAGTAACATGTAATTAAATAATAATTAGAAAAAAATTACCAAAACTCTACAATAATATGTTATTACATTTCTGATGCTTAAATTATAGAGAAAAATATTCAGTAAATTTAAGAGAAAACAAACATTTTAAACCATTTGGTCAACAGTATTTCCAAAACACTTTAGGAATTTAACAGGAAAGAATTTATTTGCATAAACTTTAAATTAGCTAATACTTCAGTCGCACTTTTGAAGACACTTCTATTTTGTTTTGAGAAATGCTTTTATCCCTCCATTCTGACCCTCACCCCATCCCACCGCCTGAGGATAAAAGTGAATAGATTAAATAAGGAAAAAGTTAAGATGCATTATTTTACTGTGAATGGCATATTTGTACTATCATATGCAAATAATCTCGAAACCCCACTGAGCTGTTAGGATGTCTTCAAATAATTTGATAATCTGTCTTTAAAGTTTCGCATTAAATTAGAGTTCATTTTTGCAAAACGCCTGGCAGCATTAAATCTTTTCTGAAAAGATAAAGGTCTCCTTCTTCTCGAACTGACATCATTACAGGATACATTTGTGAAAATTTTGCTGTCAAACATTGCAAAGGTAGGTGTGTGTGTGTGTGTGTGTGTGTGTGTTATCTGCAGACGTCTCACCTACAGTCGCACAGCTCTCCTCTCCCCGACGCACTTACCCACCCCTCTCCCGCCCCCGGCAAGTTTCAAACTTTGTTTCCTTTGGGGTTCTGCACCGGCACTACCAACAACATCCAAAAGACAAAGGGCTCTGCCGTGGGTTAAAGGAATGCCAAATTTTAGTAGTGAGACAAAGCACTCAAATTTGAGCTTCAGGCAGAGCGGAGAATGCTAAAGCCCAAAGCTCGACGCCCTCTCCCTACACAGCTCCCTCCCCGCGGCCCGCGCGGGGAGCTCAGGCCGCCGGACTGCGACTCCGAGCTGCAGCCGCCAAGCCCCCAGCACCCTGTGGGGCCACCCGGCCGGCTCACCGCTTCACTCGGATGATCTGATCCCGCATGGGCTTGATGTCCTGGAAGCTCTGCTGGTTGACCAGGCTGTACACGAGGATGAAGCCCTGGCCGTTTTTGATGTACAGGTCCCGCATGGACGCGAACTGCTCGGTGCCCGCGGTGTCCAGGATCTCCAGCACCGACGGCGACGAGTCCACCTCGATCTCCTTGCGGTAGAAGTCCTCGATCGTGGGGTCGTATTTCTCGATGAAGGTGCCGGTCACGAACTGCACGGTCAGGGCGGATTTGCCTACCCCGCCCGAGCCCAGCACCACCACTTTGTACTCGCGCATCGTCCCTCCGCGGCTGCCGCCGCCGTCGCCGCCCGCGACATAGACCTCCGCCCGCCGCGCTGCGCCCCGGACCCTGCCCCGCGGCCGGCCCCGCCGCCTTCCGCGGCCGCCCCCACCTCACGGCCGCGGCGGACCCCCGGGCCCCTGCGGCGGGCCCGCAGCTGAGAGAGCAGCGGCCCTGGGCATGGGCCGAGCCGGGCAGCGAAGCGACCCCGCGGGCGCCGGCAGAGACTGAGGGCGAGCTGGAGCGAGAGCCGCCGGAGCCGCCCGAGCCGCGGGCCCGCAGTGCCTCCCGCCCAGCCCCGCCCCTCGCGCCTCCACGCCCAGCTCCCCGCCCGCTGCCGCTTCCCCCGGCGCGCGCGCCCGAGCACAGCCGCAGCGCTGCCGGAGGCGGGGTCGGCGGCCGGGGCGGAGCCACGACACAGCCCCGCCCCCAATCCCTGTCGCCTAGGCAACCGGCCGCGCGCGCTCCCGGGAGGCCCTGCACCGCGCAGAAGCGTAGTCCCGCCCTGGGATAAACAAGCTTCACGTCCGCTCGGCAACACCCAACCCCGCACACCAGCGGCAAACCCTAGCGCCTGCGAAATGCGCGTGCGCGCTTCCCGCTTGCGGCAGGGGTAAAGTCCATTTGAGACTCCCACGCTCAGAATTTGGCAGAGAAGATGAGGTAGAGGGGCCATGGGAACTTCCAGGGTGGAAGGTGAGAAGACTAGATGCGCGATGTCCAAAGGGAGTCACTGAGTGCCCCTGCCCTATACCACCCAGAGTATTCCGGGGGTCTTCGTTCTTGTATAAACAGAACGATGTGAACCTTTGTTTAAGGAGAGAAGCGCCTCCAGGTCTCTGCCTGAGGCTGGTGAAACAATGAGCTGTAGCTTGGTTTCAAACGCCCAGACACTGAGGAAAGGAAGAGCCGGCCCTTCGGCCCTACGCCCTAGAGCTAGTCAGGGGCGCCCAGACACCACGTAAGCCAGGTCCACGCCCGATGACGTCCTCCAGACCCGCCCCTTTTCGGTGCCCTCAAGTCGAGCTCTTCCCACGCCCTGACAGCCGTCGGCGCACGGAAAACCTGGAAAACGGAGCTCCCACCGGCAGCGGGAAGGCTCGGCGATACCTCATAGCAACAGCCTGCTGGGGGCATCTAGTAGGAAGCTGGAATTCGTTCTAACCAATTAGATCACGCCTCTGCACCCCATGGTACCACTCACAACCAATAGAGAGATGTTTGGTGCTATGTGTCCCCCCCCCACCGACCAACTTCAACCAATGGGGAAAACCCTAGTCTAGACTCAGCCAACCCACCTCCCAGAGCCTCACCAGGCTGGGCATTTGCTCTTGCGCACGCTCTGCCAACCAATCATAGGTGAGCTGATGAATGACGGAGGTTTGGGCTGAGCCAACCAGGACTCGCAATTCCCTTGCTCCGAGAGCTGGTGGTATGGAGACCGGGCCAACGCTGGCTGAGTCTGGGAGGGGCGGAGATGGAAGGGCTCGTTGCGGTGCTCTGTTCTGGCAAAGGAACTGGGTGCGTTGGCAGGCGAGAGTGATGAATTCTGCTTTTAACGTCGTCTCCGTGGCATTCTGCCTGAAAGATGGGCATGGAAGTGGTGCTGAGGGATGTGGGCTGAATCGAGAAAACAGGGACTTTTGTCTTTAGGGTGAGAAATTTTCCGGTCCTTAGGAGGCACCGTGCTGCTGCAGTCGCATTGGTCTTCCATGCGTGCCTTCTAAAACATTTCTTTTTTCTTTCACTACTAAAAATTTAGCACTGTGTCTTTGATATTAGAACTTAGTTGCACACCTTCTCCCATACGATCATATTTAAGAAGCTTTACATCTTCAATCATCCTCGACTGTGGGTTTTTTTTTTTTTTTTTTTGGAATCACTAATTGCTGTATTTAGCTTTTCTAAAACATTTCCTTCTCGAACAGGTCTCCCCGTGTCCATTGCTATCTCACATTTCTTGAGAACAGTACATTTCTGTAGTTCTAATGTTAGATCCTAGTATACCTACCCACCATTCTTCTTTCCCACAAGGTCATCCTAGAGAGGATTTTGATCTGAGTTTCTCTAAAAAACAGATGTTCCCCACCTTTTCTATCAACTATCAAATTACTATAAAGGTGTACTCGGATTTTTCAATGTCCTCCTGCTCTGATAGCTCCATTATACGATTATGTTAGTGGATAACTAACTATGTTTGCATTACCTTGCTGTAGTATAACACGCACCAAGTTTTTGTTTAAAATAATTGAGGACAAATATCCTGTCAAACTTAAAATATAAATTGCAATTGTTCCTCAGTAAAATACAGCTGTCTCTGATACCCAGAAGACTGTTTTCAGAAAGGATACCCACATACATATCCCAAAATCTGCAGATTACATAACATGGTATATTTGCATATAATCTATACACATCTTTCTCTATACTTTGTCATTTCTAGACTGCTTATAATGCCTAATAGAATGTAAATGCTATGCAAATAATTGCTATATTGTATGGTTTAGGGCATAAAGACTAGGGGGAAAAGGCAGTACATGTTGGGTACTGATGCAGAATTTGATCTGATTGGTTAAATCCGTGGTTGCAGAACCCATGGATATGAGAACTGGCAGTATAATTCAGTTATTACTTCTTGGTTACATATTGACAAACTATGAGAAGTTAAATCTGAACTACCAGAATCGTGGTGAAAGCACTCTGAGAAAAATAAAATATCAGAAATGTTTTAAGGGAATGTAAACTGACAAGAATCATATATGAATCTAATCTAGTAATGTAAAGAAGTAAATTTAAACATAGAGCTTACATGGATATGTCATACCTGAGCAACAGTGGCTATAATTCAAGAGGATCATACAGGTAAATACAATGTTCATCTAGCTTTATAGAAGTCTCATATTTTGTGTAAAACTGATATGTGTTTTTATGATTAGTAGCAGCTTCATTTTTCTGAGGACAGACTGTCTCTTGTAGGCTGCAAATTGTGCATCTTGATGATAAGAAGTTCCTGTGCTTGCTGAGGATTAAGTTGAGTCAAGAATCATCAAACTCTGTCTGTAAAGGTCATGACAGCCCATGTTGTACCTTGCATTACAGTAGTACTGACAATTCATTCACTTTGCAAGGGATAAAGGTACCATGATGTTTCTTTTTTTGAAAATTTTGCATTGGGGTTATGGATACTCAAGGTAAATTTAGGCATCTGTTTTCATTATTCCTAGGTCCCCAAAGTTGGGAAACTCTAGATTGTAGTGCATCTAATAGCAGTTGTTACAAAAATAGTGAGGGGCAACCTAGCACCCCACTTAGAATAATAGCTTTTTGACATTCCTCAAGCTATTTTCCCTGACCTTTCATCATGTTGACTTTTTCAATAGGGAGAAGTGTAGAAACTGCAGCCCATGGAGTGATTGTGACCATTTATGTTTCTCATATGACAGGCCTCAGTTTTCATTCCCATTCGTTGCCATAAAGCAAAAGAAACACAATGGGTAGTAGCTTATTTTTTGTATCTACTTTGGCTTGGATATTGGTGGTATGGAGACCAGGCCGATGCTGGCGGAGTCTGGGAGGGGCAGAGATGGAAGGGCTCCTTTGATTTGTGGCTGTATGTAGCATAGTGGTTAAAAGGTTAGCTGCTGTAAGAAGGATGTGAGGACATTTAGAGAATTTGAAGATTTGGGTGGGAGATGGGTGTCTATTTCCTGATCCCTTGATCATGTTCATTTATGTGTCTGTATAACCTTTATTCGAGGCTTGATTTTAGAAATAAAAATATATATCTTCATTTTTTTGTAGGAAAGAAAACAAAAAAGAGATAAGGTGAAAATGATTTTTTCCCCAAGAGCAGTAAATCTTTATGACAGTAGAAACTCAACACTATACACTGACACTGTGGGGTCCCTGCAGTTTCAGAAGTATGTTTCTGTGAGAAAAGAGGGAGAGGGAGAGGGAGGGGGAGGGGGAGGGGGAGAGGGAGAGGGAGAGGGAGACTTCATTTCTGGGAGAGGGAGAGGGAGAGGGAGACTTCATTTCTTTTCTCCCCACTGGATCTGAAAGGGAGTTATCTCACCTATATCCAGATACCCTCAATTGTCACACATGTGTTACCATAGAAACCTAGCTTCTTTCTTCCTTTCTGTGAAAGATGTTGGAAAAGGTGGAACAAAGTGGGAAATAAAATACACTGTGTTCTGGGACTTCCTGATGCGCACAAGAAGCAAATACATAAAGAAATTTAGTACAAATAAGTTAATAGAAGATGTTTGTAATATGACCGGTACTTATTGGCTCTAAAACCCTGATTCAAATTGCTTCCTTTTAATACGTGCATGTCTCTGATTAATCATAAAGAGAAAGGACATATAAAGTACATTAGCACCTGTGAAGGGCTGCTGGCAATTATAAAAGGAACAGATGAAATTTTCCTAGCCTCTGAGGCTCCTAATACATTGAGAAACAAGTCCACATGAGGAGTGGAAAGGAAGGGGCAAATAAGCTTGCTCTTCTTTTGAAAATGTGACATGTCTTAGTGCTTTCGGAAAGAAAAAGAATTAGAGTATAGACACTGAATGCATATGTAAACAAGTCAATGAGGAAACCTGTTTGTTAAGAAAGCAAATGTTTCAAAAGACAACTTTAATCGGAAAACATTTCTAAAAGAAACTGCTTAATGATTAAAATGTAGGGAAGAAAACCAAAAAACCCTGAAGAATCTAAAGAGCTCAAGGGTTCTGAGGGAAGATGGGAAGAACCTAGATCCTGGTTGAGGACATTGAACCTCAAGCCCACCCTGGAAATGCTCTCCTGTGGCTCATGGCTAAGTAAACATCCAGTGTCCTTTGCTGTAAGTCTATTAGATTCTCTGTACCCTATAGTCAGATACATCTCAACTCTTACAGAAATTGGGAGGAATTCCAGACAAAATGGTGTTTTAAAAAATTCAGCAAGCATTTGTGACTACTTTCATTCTCTTGAATGAAATGATGAATGATATGATAAAGATATTTATTAAACACTCAGTATGTATATTTTTCTGAGTTCTGAACAGTAAATGAATAGCCAAATGAGCTTGTGTTCTAGCAGGAGAGAAATACATTAATAAACCAATCGCATTATGTAAAATTAATGCCAATAAGGGAAAATGAGAGAGTTTAAAGGGTGTGTAATAAAATATAGATAAATAATAAAAGAAAACATAATTAAAGAAGGGAACAAAATTATAGATGCAAATGCCTCCTAAGAACATGATAATATAATGTCTACTTTGTACATGAATTCCTAGAGGGCAAGAGAAACAGGAAGGAAACCTGAATGAGATAGTCAAGGAAAGCTGAGGCCAATTCATACTGGAAACACCTTTTGAAGGAGGTGGACAAAGGAAAGGCTAGATGGGACAGATGGGAGGATGCAAGGATCCAGAAGAGCAAAGGAAAAAAGCGGGGATTGAGTAGGAGCAAGATGAGGGAGATTCCAAATCACTGGATCCATAATCCCCCTCACAGTAGCGTTACAGGGATGCCACTTGGGAAATATCAGAAGTTAGAACTCTCAACGCAAGATTATAAAAGGTGCAAAACTAATGTAAGGAGAAAAAGTGGGAGTACAGAGTGCATTTGAAATTAAGGCATTATTCAAAATAATGAATAATTTGAAATGTGGGCGTCATCAAAGAATTGTCATGAGAAGTAATCATGGACCCAAGGGCACTGAGGAGCAATTCAAACTTTCACAAATAAAAGAAAAATGAAGAGTAGAAAAGAAAGTACAGACAGGTAGGATAAAAGTCTTGCTTATGGTTATTTTTTATGGTAGTGATTATTGACATGCATTATGTAAAAATGGATTTGATTGAAAGATGCATTTCATTAGCCTAGTAATATGTAAAGGTGGTCTTTTTGGTAAATAATGTAATTTAAAGTGTTTTCCTTGGATTTTTTTTTTTTTTTTTTGTAACTTGCTGTGGAAAAGTCTTTTCAGTAACGAAACCATAAAGAACAATAATTTACATGTAAGTGAAGCATTTGGGCAATAAAAAGAAAAATAATGTAGATGTGCCAGATGTAATAGTAGAGCAATAATAATAATAAATACTTTTAGTGAAAATCAGAATTTTGTTAGGCATAATGTGGTTTATGGTCGAGTATAGCTAAGAAAATTTTCTGGGGGGAAAAAAAACAAAAACAAGCTACAGTGGCCAATGAACACCTTGATGTTACTGGAGGTAGAATTTACCGTTCACATTTGTGACCCCAGGTGTCACCTGAACAGATATCGGTCTTTACACTAATAGCACATTGAGTAAATTGGACAAATCCTCTACATGATTCTGATTTGCCCTGGGGTTAAAAATCAACAATATTATTAAATATTCATTCTACATTTTCTGAAGTAAAAAATCACACTTAAAGTCAATGGTGATCCTGAAAATGTCTACGAGGATACAGAATAACAAGATTACATACTTCAAATCCAGAATTTAACTTAAATTCTTCCTCCCCATTTGTCCCTTACACATG